ACAAAGCCTATTATTCTTCCATGTTAATACTGACTTTTAACCCCAACTTTTGCTATGATAGGTTATAGGGAAACTGAGTAAAAAGGTTAGAAGCATAAGAGGAGCCTTCCTTCTCCAGGAACCACCACCTTTTTTTAAATCTCCTTCTGAGGAAAGTTTTACCCTGAAATACGTGTGCTCCAGGGCATCCCAGGTCGCTGCCTGGATACTGAGAACCTATTCTTCAGAACAGGTAAACTGAGGTTCCCCACCACCACATTTCCTGTTCCTCAGATGCAATTAGAAGGCCTCAGAATTCAGGGAAACACAGAACCTCACAACAGGATTATTCACTGAATCAGATGTGTGTTCAACAGGATGACAGCTATTATGCTTAGGTAAAAAAAATGAACCCCAAACTCATCCAAGTACCAGAAATCACCCCGGCAAGCTGCAGATGACCCAAGAGAAGGGCCGGGCACCCAGCCTCAGTGAGACTTGGAGGAGCCTTCCCAGCTGCTTTTCTAAAGAAGTCAGGGCAGGCTGGGCCTCCGGCTCCAGTATGTGTCTGGGACAGGGCCCTGAACCAGAAGAAATGTCTTGCTCCTGCCAACTGATTCTTGGCTTGGAGCAGCTGGCCAGAGTGAATGCTTGTTCTGAGGTAGGAGAGCTCTCATTTTGTTAAAAACTTGTAATTTTGTGAAAAGCTTATAAGGATCTTTCTACACATGCATTAACAAATCTTAGCCCAAAGATTTGGTATTTTGTGCTTGCTCTTAGTATGTATTGCAAACAGCAAATGATCTATAAAAGTTTCATCTGGGGGAAATCTCCCTGCAACAGTCAAGTTTACCTAATTCTCTTCTTCAATCAGAAACTAGAGTCATGAGATAGGAGATGAATTATCCCTGGGCCAGTGTAATTAAAAAGTAACTGAATTCTAGGAATGGTTGGTTGAATACCAGAAACTTACTCCTGCTCCCTCTGATATCCCAGTAAAAGGATTTTTTTTAAGGCATAAAACTTGTGGTCACAAGTTGTCATGAGACAACAGTAACAAAGCTTAGAACCTAGAAAACAGGCAGAGTTGAAACTTAAATTAGCAGTGGAGAAAGTCAAAACCAATCAAATGTAAACCACAGAATCCCCAAAAGGCCCTGGTGGAAATGGGGAATAATGAAGGGATGAGCAAAAAATAAAGAGAATCTGTAAGGAATATGGGGTAACTCAGGTTTTTTTTCACCTCCCACCACCAGCGGCTTTGTTTTGTTCCCAGGCCTCATTATCCACACATGATACTGCACTATACTTCAAAAAGCACTTGAGAGCAGGAGCACAGGGCATGTGCACCTATAATTATGGACACCAGGGCCACGAAGCCAAAGATAGTGGGAGCTGGGAGCTTCGATTGCTGCCTGCCTGCTGGTCTGCCTGTGTATACGGTCCACTGCTTCAGCATTCAAGGCAAGTCAGATATACCTAAGACTCCAAGATTCTTTTTCCATTTCCCTGAATCAACAGTGAACCTGCCAGGCCTGGGATAGCTGCACAATAGGAGCTCTTGGACTTCTTTCAAGAAATAGCTAGATTCCCCAGACAAGGCACTTACTCTGTAAAACTGAGCGATTGCTCCTCTACAACCTGGCAAAAGTCTGAAGATGCATACTCTGGAAAGTCTAAAATATAAACCCCTGGGTAAAAGACTAGGCATAATTTGTAGGGAAGAGGGTGCTGTAATGAAAAGGGGATGGAGTGAACACAGTGTGCATTTTGAGATACTCACACATCCCCCCCACCCCCTGCCCTGTTCTCTTTTCCCATCTAGTTCTCGGAAAGCTGACGACCTGGCCCAGGCCCTCCAGGCAAGAGAGAGAAGTTCTTCTCTGGGTGATGTGAACAGTCAAAGTGGAGAGCGATAGAGACACTGACACTAGTGGTTCCCCAGATAAAGGGCGATGGACAGCATCGCAAGTATAGCTGTTGTCGGTGAGTCACACTCACAGGTACCAGGCTCAGATTAGCCTGTTTCCCTTTCTTGAATATAACGGACAAAATCTGACCACCTGACATGTGAGGAAAGATTTTAAAATGAAAGCTAGAATCTGAGGATGTATATCCTAGAAAGTACAATGACCATTTACAGAAATGAAAGTAAAGAATTAAAAATCAGAGGACTAGCCCAGAAGGTCCAAAATCTGAATAACAGGTTCAGAAAGAAAAGAGAAAGAGGGGGAATGAATTTATCAACACAATAATGTGAGAACATTTATTCAAAATTGAAGACTGAATTTCTAAAACAAGAGAAAGTACCAGCCATGTAACACAATGATGAAGTTGGGCATTGCTCTGAAACTCCAGAACTCTGAGAACAAAGAGCTTTGACAAGTTTCCATAAAAAACCAGAAACCCTGGCTATAAATAAAAGCTCAGGAATCAGAAGTATATGTGACTTCACAATAGAAAGGCAAAGTGCTGAAGGAAAATTATTGCCAATCTGGAGTTCTTGATCCAGTCAGACTACACATGAAGGTCTCAAAATTTTATTTCTACTCATCTCTTCTCAGCAACAAAGCAATGAAATAAATCCAGAAAGAGGAGGATGTGGAACATGGAAACAAGGGAGTTAGCAAAGAGGGCTGATGGGCATTCCCAGAATGGTGACAAAGAGATGCTAAAGTAAATATATGTCCCATTCCTTAATCTGTGAAACAGGAATTAACAATAGCACCAGTCTTGGAATTGTAAGGATTCAGCATAAAACAAAGCCAGAGCTGTAAGAGTTATTATCAACAACTAATTGATTCTTTACACAATTATATTTGTCTATAACTTGATTCATATCAATAATTTAAAAAATCAATGTAAATGTATTTCTGAATGGAACATATTTCCAGCTTTAGAATGAATGAAAATAGAACTATCAGATTTTGAAGGTTGGAAGGGTTCTGAGATTTCTCCAGTGCAATTTGCTTGTTTTAAAGAGGAGGAAACTAGCTGGGTTGCTAAGACAATAGAGCCACTGTGCAGAGGAACTGCTTGGCAGTCAGGTGTCTCAGCTGATGTAATGGAATTCAGAAATGCAGCTACATGAGCCACACCTGCAGGATCTTCAGTGTCAGTTTCACACATACAAACAAAAATCGTCATAGAAATGTCCAACTCTAAGCCTCCCTGGTGGCACAGGGGTTAAAGTCTCAGCACTATCAAGCTATCGCCAGCCACTGTGGCGTGGCCTGAGTTCTATCCCCAGCCCGGGAGCTACCCACATGGCACAGCAGACCTCTCCTGTCTCACCCTCTGCTCCCCTCAGCAGTGGATTTCAGTAGACCCGCCTGTTCTGCTCCCCACTCTGTCTCTAGGGAATCCTCTCAACCCTCTCCACATATCTGGCCTACATCCCAGTTCATGTATACATACATAAATAAATAAAATAAATCTTTAAAAAAAGAGAGAAATGTCCAACTCTCATTTTATCCTCAAACCTGACATTTGCACAAGATAGACAAAAACAGAAAGCCCACATCGAAAAATCCCTATCACTCCCTTGTAAAAAGAAGCGGCTCTAGTTGGATTGACTTAGGCTGACAATAAGGAAGAAAAACGCATTAAATTCATTGTCCTACACAGAGGCTTTAATTCTAGGAAGGAGCCTCGAGTGGATTTATACATACACATAAGAATATTAACAAGAAGTCTCAGCATGGGTTAGCATTTCTTATCTCTGAGCAATGGCCTGGGCAGTAATGCACTACCACAGTAGTTTTCGAGAGAATATACACAGTTTGGATTAATAGTTGTTTTGGGGCACTACTTCCAAGGAAATAACGCTCCCATTAAAATGACCCAGCAGGGCCTCCGTGGTGGTGCACAGTGTTAAGATGCAACCTGTGAAGCTATCTGCAGCCACTGCAGCATGAGTTCAAAATCCCCAGCCAGGGAGCAACCCACATGGTGCAGCAGACCTCTCCTGACTCGCGTGCTGCTCCCCTCAGCAGTTGATCTGCCTGTTCTGTTCCCCGCTCTGTCTCTGGTGACTCCTCCCACCCTGCACCTCTGGCCTGTACCCCAGTTCTTGTATGCACAAATAAATCTTTAAAAAATATGACCGAGCATGAAGATTATTGAGCAAGGTCAATGAAAAAGTGTTAGAGTGGTTAGGTCTGGGAGAGAAGAATTTCCTCCTTACCTCACCAGGCAAAGTGCCCCCCACACCCCTTTGAGGTTTAAGAGGAGCATCAAACTGGGTGAGAAGTTTTCTGGGATAATTTTGTTTCAACTGAAAATAAGCCCCCTGGACATCTGGAGAAGGTCCCACTCAACAGGAAGAAGAACTTATTTAAAAGAGAAAATTGCGCATTTTCTTTTCTCTCAAAGGAAAAGTACATGCTAATTTTTCACTTTCCAAACACTGAAAACTCCTATGCTTCTTGAATATTTACTGTAAATCAATTTATAGTTATCTTTGGGTACAGGCGTTGTGACAAGCCAAACATGCACTTGGTGACGGGCTGGGTTAATACCTCTTACCATTGATTACTGGGCTGAGACTTTTTTTTAAGATTTATTTATTTATGCCTACAAGAACTGGGGTACAGGCCAGAGATGTGGGGGTGAGAGGATTCACCTTAGACAGAGTGGGGAACAGAACAGGCAGATCTACTGAAATACACTGCTGAGGGGAGCAGCGGGCGAGTCAGGAGAGGTCTGCTGCGCCATACTTGGCTGAGACATGCAAAATCCAAAATACCCCCAAAATTTTGTTTTTACATGTTTTAATCCTTTTTATAAACACTCATTTCAGTATTTATGATTAGTGAAAGGATTCGCTCCTTCTTTCTTGCAAATATTAGGTGCATCTTCAAAAATCATTCAAACAAACACTATGAAGTGGGTAACAGCCAAGTTGGCAAAAACATGAAAATAAATACATTTAGCAATACTTTCAATTTCTTCTACATCTGAACAGAAACATCCAAAAAATACTATTTCAAAACAGAAAGTACTATAATGTCAGTACTCACAGAAAAAGTAAGATCCCCGTGTTGGCCAGGGCAAAGGCAAGTCCCAAAATCCCACTGCCCATAATGGCATTGCTTAGGTTAAAAACAGACATTCCCAAGGAGGTTGTTCCTGGAATCTGGAAAAAAAGACAAACATTCACACTAAGCAAAAACGTCCCCAAAAGTTCATCACAGCCTTTAAAGCACTGTAAGGAACCAATATAGTTCCTAATTCAAGATCTCCTTCCACAGTTATTCTTAAATGGGTTTTAGAAGAAGACACATAGGATGCAAGAAATATAGTGGTGAATAAAAGTAACTATGCTTTTGGTACAATGATACATGAATTAAACTGTCCCAAGTTATTTAAAAAAATAAGCATGCTTTATTGTAATAACACTTACATATTCATCACACTTCTTTTTTTCCAAATGGCTATTAGTGAGACTTCTTCGACTTTCTCGATCAGAAATAAACTTGCTGTAAAGACATGCATAACACATTTAATTTCAAAATGATTTGATATTTCACATTATGACAAAATAATTTACCACTTACCGAAACACATTACACATTAAAAGTTATCATTGGGTACCACAGCCCTATTCAATGCCCCCTACTTTTTGGAATTTTTGTTAATGTTAATTGTCTACATTCTTGTCTTACCAAATAAACCAAAAGTGCTCCAAGAGTAAGTACTTCACCTTATTCCTTTTTTGTTTGTTTGTTTTCTATTGAGCTATAAATGATATGACATTATACTGGTTTCAGGTGTACAACATAATGATATTAATGATATTGTTTATCAGTCTTCTCACCTGTGAAATGGGAGTAAAGCTTTTACATTTATCTCAAAGCATTACTGAAGAATTGAGAGTGTGTGTGTACAATGTCAGTACAGGGCTAGGAAGATAATCATTCCTCTTTTTAATCTCCTCTTCAGCGGGATTGGGACTTGAGAAAGAGTCAGAAGTCTGAGAAAGTGAACCAAATACACATATATACAAATAGGAACTCAGAATGCTCTAAGAATGATCAAATATAGTTGGGGATTCATACTGTAACTTTATGGCCTAAATTTATAATTTAAAAAAAATTCCCCATTATGAAAACAATAGTTATTGCAAAGAAAAGGCCATTATAGTCAAACTGTCTGAGTTTGATCCCCAGCCAGGGAACTGACCCTCATGGCACAGGAGAGTTGGGGCTCGCATGGAGGAAGGAGACGCTGCGAGTAAGATCTCCATTAAAAAAGTTAATAGGGAGGAAAAGCGGGCAGGTCCCAGTGAGAACTGGGACACGGAAGATAAACGGGCGGGTGACTCCAGCAAACTACCCGAAGAAGAAGGTTGCCATAAAAGAGGACTAGAAGGGGAGGAAAGCGCAGAACCCTGCTGCTCCCTCCCCACCCACAGAGGCGGCACTCTCCGACCGGCAGAGAGGAGGAAAACAACAAACTAAAACGACCAACAAGAACAAACTACAGCAGCAAGCGGGACTGTGAGTGGAAAGGAACTATTGCAGCCACCACACCCCATGAACAGGAGCTGCGGAGAACCCTGCAGGATTCGCCTCGGAGGTGAGCTCCGGGCGCCATTACAGAGACCCCGCCCCCCAGGAGGGCCAGGACCAGCACACAGCCCCGGGCCACCCGGTAAGCTTGCGCAGAAAGCAGCGCGTTGAAAAGCAAAAGCGATTGGATCGCGGTGCCCAGGGCCCCTTGCGCCTGTGACCTAGGCTTGCAGGGAGATGCGCGCGAAGACCCTCACTGAGGTGAAAGTCCCTCACTGAGTATCCAGGAACCAGGCACCCAGGCACGGGAGCGGGGTGCAAAAGACGCCATTCTGTGGACACTGAACTGGGCTACAGCCCGCGTCCTGGACCTGAGGGCTTTGGAACTGAGATCGGGGCACAAATTCGGGGCGTGGGTTCTCCATGACGGTGGGGCACAAGGCAGACACAGCACCCCAAAGCCGTTGAGGTTTACCCTACCATTCCCGCTCTGTTTCCTGTCCCATGGGGTGAAAAAAAAAAACAAAACAGCTCCCCAAGGGATCTAGGAGAGATCTCTGGTGCCACCTAGCGACTTGAAACCAGCAGAGGCTCCTGGAGGAGCCAGTGGCCAGCTGGGAAGTTAGCCCACGCCGGGCCTCTGCCGACCAGTAGTCTGAGCCCACAGGGGGAGCGAGTACCCAAAGCCGGGGCAGACCAGGCGCGCAGAAGAGTGTGCCTGAGACTGGACACGCAGGGAGTGTGTCCCGCATCGCCATTTTAGAACAGGGACATTTCTTCAGTAAAGACTGCCCTGCAGAAGGCTCCCTCAGGAGCCAGAGGTGAGCCGGGGAAGTTCGCCCACACCAGAACACCTCTGGCCTGCAGTCTAAGCCCAGAGGGGGAGAGGGAACCTACCGCCGGGGCAGACCAGGAGCACAGGAGAGAGTGTCCCCACATCGGCATTTTAGAACAGGGACCTTTCTTCAGTAAAGACTGCTTGAAACTGACAGATGGCTCCCGGAAGCCAGAGGGGAGCAGAGAAGCCACCCAAGATGCGGCCAGTCCCAGCAACACAGTGTCCCAACGCATACGGCAAATTAGAAAACAGACAGTAGGGAGTAGAAGAACCAAACACAGCAACAGAGCAACTCCTCAGGGAAGAAGCACACCACAAAAGAAACCAGCCCCCCAGATTGCAACGACAGTACTTGGAAGAACTTCTGAGCCTTCCAGAAAGAGAATTTAAAATTGCCATGATTAAAAAAATGACAGAACTCATAAAGGAAAACAATGATAAGGTAAAAATAATCAATGATCAGAAGAATGAATTGAGTCCCTAAAGAGGGAAGTAAAGAAATGCAGATCAAGAATTAATGGAAGAAACTAAAGAATTCTGGGAAAAGCAATGAAAGCAGAATAGATGAAATGGAAGAACGAATAAGTTCTCTTGAAGACACAGAAATAAAAAGAACCAAAACAGAAAAGGAAAGAGAGTACGAAGGAAAAAGAATGAAGACAGACTTCGGGAACTATCTGACACAATGAAGAAAGGAAATATAAGAGTTATAGGAATACCAGAAGGAGAGAGGAGAGGATGTAGGAACAGAGAAAATATCCAGGAGATAATTGAAGAGAACTTCCCAAATGTGAAGAAGGAGCTGAAAATTGATATACAAGAAGCAAGAAGAACCCAAACTTCCATGACGAAAGGAAAAATACAGCAAGACACATAATAGTGAAACTCCCAAGAATCCAACAAGGAAAAAATAATGAAGCTGACAAGAGGGAAGAACAAATAACATTCAAGGAAAACCAATCAGGCTGACATCAGACTTCTCTGAAGAAACACTACGGGCAGGAGAGAGTGGAAGGACATAGTCAAGACTCCAAGAAAACAGATGTCAACCAAGAATACTCTATCCCGCAAAGCTTCCTTCCTCTATGAAGAAAGAATAAGGACCTTCCCAGACAAACAGACACACCCCGGAGCTGCAGCTTGCCAGAAAACGCCATTCTGTGGACACCCAGAACCCCAGGGCTGACAGCCCGCGATGCTGGAAGACCCTCACTTTGGAACTGAAATCAAGGAACAAAATTCAGGCACGGGAGCGGTTGCTCCATACGGTGGGGCCCTGGAGGCAAACACTAACTCCCCAAAGACACGAGGGCTTGCAGGTGGATTACCCTACAAAATTCATTCTTTTCCTGTCTCCAGGACGGTGGGGCTGACAAGGAAAAAACAGCTCAAAGCCGTTAAGGGATGGGTTCCATCCTGGTGCCAATGGACCAAAAAAAAAGCAGCAGCTCCCCTCCTGGAGGAGCCAGATGGCCATGGGGTGAAAAAAAAAAAAAAAGCCCAACCTCTAGGACAGTAGCCCACCTAGGGACAGCTCCAAGAAGCCACGCCAGCTCAAGTTGCCCAGTAGTCTGAGCCAAACAGTAGGAGCACCACAAGCCGGGGCAGACCAGTGCCTGAAAGTGACTGACTGGACACGCAGGGAGTGGGAGACTTCAACACACCACTATCAACAATGGATAGATCAACAAGACAAAAAATAAGTAAAGAAAGTAAAGCTCTAAATAAGGACCTAGAGCATTTGGGCTTAACAGACATCTATAGAACACTAAACCCCCAAAAAACAGAGTACACATTTTTCTCAAGCGCACACGGATCATTCTCCAGGATCGATCACATACTGGGGCACAAGACAAACATCAACAGATACACCAAGATTGAAATCATACCAACCATCTTTTCTGACCATGAAGGCATCAAGCTAGAAATAAACCATAAAAAGAAGGCAAGGAACTTTCCTACCTCATGGAGACTAAAAACCACACTACTGGAAGACCACTGGACTAATGAGGAGATCAAAGAAGGAAATTAAAAAATTCTTTGAATTGAATGACAAGGAGGACACCAATATCCTAAATGTATGGGACGCAGCAAAAGCATTAATAAGAGGAAAATATATAGCAATAGAAGCTCACATCAAGAAACAAGAAAGAACTCAAAGAAACAACCTAATCTCGAAACTCAAAGATCTAGAAAAAGAACAACAAAAAAACCCCAAAACCAGTAGAAGAAAAGAAATAATAAAAACCAAAGCAGAAATAAATGAAATTGAAACTAAAAAAACAATCCAAAAGATTAATGAAACCAAGAGCTGGTTCTTCGAAAAAATCAATAAAATAGACAAACCCCTAGCCAGGCTCACAAAAGAAAAAAGGGAGAAAGCACAAATAAACAGGATCAGAAATGAAAGAGGAGAAATCACAATGGACACAGCAGAAATAAAAAGAATAATCAGTAACTACTATGAAGAGTTGTATGGAAACAAGTTCAACAATCTAGAGGAGATGGACAAATTCCTACAACTCTACAATCACCCAAAGCTAGATAAAGAAGAAATAGAACACCTAAACAGACCAATTACAAGCAGCGAAATTGAAATGGTAATCAAAAACCTCCCCAAAAACAAAAGCCCAGGACCTGATGGATTTACAAACGAATTCTACCAAACATTTAGAGATGAATTGGTGCCTATCCTTCACAAACTCTTCCAAAAAATTGTTAAGGAAGAGACAATACCAAACACGTTCTATGAAGCCAACATTACACTAATACCAAAACCGAACAAGGACAACACAAAAAAAGGAAAACTACAGGCCAATCTCCCTAATGAACACTGATGCAAAAATCCTCAACAAAATTTTAGCTATCAGAATCCAACAATGTATCCATAAGATAATTCACCACGACCAAGTAGGATTCATTCCAGGGACACAAGGATGGTTTAACATCCGAAAATCAATCAACGTTATCCAACACATCAACAAAAAGAAATATAAAAACCATATGATAATATCAATAGATGCTGAGAAAGCTTTCGACAAAGTGCAACACCCATTCATGATAAAAGCCCTTGAAATTCTTGGGATACAAGGAACATACCTCAACATCATAAAGGCCATCTATGACAAGC